ATTTTTTACTATTAAATTTACTTAATTAGTTTTGATGTAAACACTGATTGACAGTAAGAATTTTGCATATACTTTGTATCAAAATTTCTATATTTTCCTCAAATTTCTGACCTCTACTTCTTCAAAACATTTGTGAGCCCAAAGTTCTTTTCTTGACAGAAAAAGGATTGCACAAAGAAGGAAGTTTATGGACAAAATACAGATTTCTTTCCTCTAACGAGATATATTTTACGACGTGACTCGTGAGAATCAATAGACCCTCGTCATAAATTGCTCCAATTAATGGAAGGAATCCTGATAATGACGAACTACTTGATGGATAAGCAGTTAGACAGGTGGATACAATAGTCCCCGTCCATTCTGTTAGAAGATTTAAAAGCTTAAAAGCATGAGCATGTGAAAGAGCACATGGGAATCGATCATTTATTCATCTTTTAGTGTCCAATTTAATTAATGAAGCAACTTTTATATAACCATATTGATTATATCATATGCGTTCACTATACGGCTATACCTTAATTCAGTACTAGCAACACGGATCTACATCAACTTAAGCCAATGGTTCTTAATTAAGTTCCCTAATTATTAATGACAGAGTACTCTTCTATTACTAATCTTTCCTCATGTATCCTGGCCGATAACAAATTTCTCATTCTTTTATTGCTTTACTCTTATACTTTACTTAGGTACTTGTTAGTTTTATCAATAAAAAATCAGAAAGCAATTTCTCAGCTTACCGCAATTAAAGGCAAGCATTATATTTTAGAATCATAAATAAATAGCAGTAAATCTCAGTAGTGGATCACAATGGGATCACTAAGGAAGAGAAGTTCCTATTAAGAGTTACTTTTTGCTACTAGTACGTAGTTTCCAGTTCCCTTGTAACATGATCTTTCCCTGGGGTGTCAACGAAAACCAATTAAACCAATCCAACCATATCATACCGAACCGATTTTAGGTTTCTTTTAATAAAACCGTAAGTCTTTATATAAATTTATAGTCGTACCGATAATTATGGTAGGTTTTTTATTTTAAATAAACCGAAAAATACCGAACCGTACCGAATAAATTTACATGTAAAAATATATTTATATATTAAGTTTAAAAATACAAAAACATTAAATTTTCCTTGTGTTTTGGACTTATGAAAACAATTATAAGACAAAAAGTAATAAACTCAAAATCATAATTCTCAAAACCTATTATGCTACTCCCATTGAAACTAAATTATTTCCAGCATATTAATCAAGGTATTGTAGCGATTATGAGTAGCAAACTACAATGTATTGATTATGTTTTCTTATTTATCCTTTTTGAATATTTAATCTTCTATAGACTTTATTCTTGAGTCTCAATCCCAACTTGGTTAATATCTTTCCACTCGAGTGATTTATATTTTTTTAATATTAATTTGTTAATTTCTTTTACATTATTGTAGAGTAGTTGATGGATCTATACTCTAGCCATCTTTCATATTTTCTTAATTGATCACCCTTTAAAATATAAAAATGTCTAGAGAGTTTTGCTAAGTCCTATAAAAGTACGTATGTTATTCCATTCTACTTCTACTAGTGACTTTTACATGACATATCAAAAAAAAAATACCGAAAATTAACCGAACCGTACCGATACCGAAAAGAAACTGATATGATTGGAACGGTTTCGAAAAGTCCAATTTAGGTTATACATAATAGGAGAAACCGAAAAATCGATATGATACAACATTTACAATATAACCGTCCGAACCGAACCATTGGCACCCCTATCTTTCCCTATTGCAATCGACCCTCCATATGGCTACTCTTCGCCCATATGTATTTGATATGCAAACTTACAAATAGTGCCGTCTTAGGTGAGAAAAGTAAATGGAGGGAACAAATAAAAACAAGAAATAGGTCGATGATAGATTTTTTGAAAGGGAAATGGTATCACACGTAGGTCCATCTGCATTTACACCTGTTGGGAATTTCAGGAGGGATTTGACTAATACTTTTTATTTATTTAATTGATTTGACTAATACTTCAATAGCTAAAGAAAGGAGTAGGTTTCCAAATTAAATGGCCTGTCGATATAGAAATTGCACAACAGTACAAGTCCAATGGAAACCTTTAGCTAACGTTTGTAATTCGTTTCATTGAGAGTTATTCTCCTTTAGGACTTTCTACCAACCAGCTAAAGAGCAGTATAACTAAGAAGTAAATGACATTTTCATCTGCAACATTTTTTATTTGGACATATAAATGGCCTGAACTGACGCCTGACGGTGTAGATGTTAACCCTGACGGTGGTATCTGCTTAACCCAAAATTTTAGGAAGAAGTGGGCCTCTTGGCCCCCACCCCCCACAAAAAGGCACGGGACCCGTCGGCACTTTCATCACCCAAGCTCCCCTATAGTCTAATCAAATGTAAGTATGTTACTACGTCGGTATCCTTTTTTAGTGGGCGTTTGGACATAAGAATTGTAAAATTCCAAAAAATAGTGTAATTATTTTTCAAGTGAAAATAATATTTGAAAATTGGAGTTGTGTTTGGACATGAATATAATCTTGGGTTATTTTTTAAGTTTTGTGAGTGAACTGAGTGAAAAAACTTTTTGGAGTTTTTTAAATGTCGAAAAATTCTAAAATTCATTTTCAAGTAAAAATTGGGAATTTTATGGCCAATCATTGATTTCGAAAAAAAATAAAAATTTTCGAAAAAAAAATGAAAAAATTCTTATATCCAAACGGGCTCTTAGTTTCTTTCCAAACGAAAGAAAAGTTGATCTAAACTCTAAAATAGTACATATTTTCTAGTTTTATTTTATTTGATGATGTTTGCCTAGACAATATACCTACGAAAAAGAAAGGCAGAATAGGCTAAATGGCACCTGTACTTCACCCACTTTGTTATGCCGGTCCCCAAAGTTAGACATTTGCCAATTGAACACTTATACTCATTCAAAACGTGAATAATAAATGCTTATCCAACGTGGCTTATCCTATGTGTCATATGTGGCTTCAGTGCGTGATTCACACGCTTGTAAGGGGCGTGAAGACATTTAAAAAAGCCTTAAAGGTAACAAATTAGCCTATTTAACAACCATCTTCTTCTTTCTACCTTATTCTCCATTGTTGAACATTATAGAAGCTAAATTTAGCAAATTCGATGCCTTCTTCTTTCTTTGTTAGCTTCAACAGTGAAAAAATAGAATTTTATTTTCTTGTGATTCTTCGTTGCCCATCAATATGCTTCTGTGTTAGTTCGTTGAGGCTAACTCCGACCATTATTGTTGATGACGTCCTGTAGAGGATTCTGAACCTGGAGTAATCATTGATACTTTGAGATTTTTCAAAGACTTCTTTAACTAAGGAATAGAATGCTTCTTCTGAGAAATCCAATTCTCTTGGAACTTCTATTGGATCGAATCTTCCGTTGAAGTGAGTGACTGTAATGACACTTAGGGATGGAACCCTAATATCTTCCTCTGCGAACAAAGGGATAGATGACCTTATAGTGATACATAAGGTTCTTATTCGAGTGACTTCCCAGAGTCTTTTGATAGAATCTACCATTTTTGGAGGAAAATTCTCCAAGTGTTTAAAAGAATCAAACACAATAATTTGTTTAACCATACCCAATAAAAACATTGAATAGGCTAAAACTGGATTTACTTCTGGTAGTAATATCACTTTAACCTGACTCTTGAAGTAGGTTGGATAGGATCCCTTGAGCTGCTGCTCGCCTTCTTTCCATTCAAAAATGGCCTGTACTGCTTCACTGCGTCTTTCTTTTGTGAAATTGAATGCTTTTGGCATTTCTTCTTTCTTCTTAATTGAAGCATAAAGCTGTTGTCGATCAACTGCTAGTTTCCGTTGAGTAGGAATAATTGGTTCCGGCGGTATCGCTGGTGCCTTGATTTTAGCTATCTGCTGAAATTCTGCGTAAGCCTTCTTGGCTCCTTCCAAGGTTGCGAAGCTTTTGTGGATTGCTCCACTTTGATCATTGGTGTAATCTGTGACCAATCTTGGTAGATTCCTTTTCTAGGTGTGTTAAAAAGAACATACCAGTTTTTTTCTCTCTGTAGGGGAGATTCACCATATTTGTTGATTGAGCTTCTTGTTCAACCATATTGGCCCATGAGACCTTTTCTTCTGCTGAAGATGCTGATACTTCGTTTGTTCCCGAAGTTGCTGAAGCTGATTTTTCTTCTAAAACCTGCTTGTCTTTTTGTGGTTTTGGGTCCACCACGCTTTGCTGTTGCACTTCTGATGAAGGCTTGATGAATTGCTTCATTGTGTTCAAAGCTATTTGAAGTTCTGAAAGCTTTGCTTTCTTTAATGCCAGCTCCTTCTGCTGCTGTTTAACTTGTTCTTCTTGGTGTGTGACTTGGAGCCTACGTGATCTTCTAATTATTGACGTGGCGTCCTACGTGTATGCGATTGTCATACACGCACTGGAAGCCACGTTGGATAAGCGTTTATTATTCACGTTTTGAATGAGTATAAGTGTTCAGTTGGCAAATGTCTAACTTTGGGGACCGGCATGACAAAGTGGGTGAAGTACAGGTGCCATTTAGGCTATTCTGCCAAAAAGAAAATGTTTGAAACTTAGTCTAAATGTAATACTCCATCCGTTTCAGTTTATGTGAACCTATTTCCTTTTTGGTCCGTTCCGAAAAGAATGACCCCTTTCTAAATTTGGTAACAGTTTAGCTTAAACTTACAATTCTACCCTTAATGAAAAGCTTTTATAACCACACAAATACTCTGACTTCTTTTTAACTTATTTAGGACCACAAATTCTAAAAGTCTTCATTTTTTCTTAAGTTCCGTGCCCAGTCAAACAGGTTAGCATAAATTGGTACAGAGGGAGTAATATTTGTGTGGCTAATAAAATAATATTATTAAAAGTAAAATAAAAAGTTCAAAATAAATTATTTTTCAATATATAAAGGTGTCAACCTTATTTTACAAAGAATAAAGAGTATCATGTAAACTAAAACAGAAGGAGTATCATCTTCTTACTATTCCTACGATATTTAGGAAATCAGATTACCTTTTCTTTGACTGTTTGACTTCAATCTTTTTGAATGTTTCCTAAATAAATATCTTAAAAGTTTTCCGCACTTTCTGAATATACAAATAAAGCAGAAGTTCTGTCTGATACGTATAAGTAGGAAATTTGTGTGCCTATGATTGTTTGTCTGTCTCCATAATGCCAAAACTTGGGAGTTCCAGGGCCAGGTTTCTGCTTTCGCTATTGTTGATCTTCTTCTCCTTATTTATACAAAATGTCGCTACTGCTACAAGCAAGAATAATTCCAATCTTAATTTTAAAGAAGCCCCAAAATTCTACAATTCCCCTTCTTGTTCTGCCATTAATTCTTTAAAAAATGCAGTACATGTAGCTATGACCCTTGATATAGCTTACCTCAGAGGATCTATGGCTGCGATTCTTTCGGTTCTTCAACACTCTTCTTGCCCAGAAAATATCATTTTCCACTTCGTGTCCTCTTCTTCTGCTGAAACCACACACTTGAACTTTACAATTGCTAAATCTTTCCCTTATCTTCACTTCACAATTTATCCAATCCAAGATATTGCAGCCGTTGCAGGACTAATTTCCACTTCAATCCGTTCTGCTTTAGACTGTCCTTTAAATTACGCTCGCAATTATCTTGCTGATCTACTTCCTCAATACCTTCACAAAGTCGTTTATCTTGATTCTGATCTTGTTCTAGTTGACGACATTGCTAAATTAGCAGCAACACCTCTAATAGAGGACTCTGTTTTAGCAGCACCTGAATATTGCAATGCCAATTTCACTACTTACTTCACGCCCACGTTTTGGTCTAACCCTTCACTTTCCTTAACTTTCGCTAACCAAAACCGAAAACCTTGTTATTTTAATACAGGGGTTATGGTTATTGATCTTGATAGATGGAGAGCAGGGGATTATACTACAAAGATTGTGGAGTGGATGGAGTTGCAAAAGAGAATGAGGATTTATGAATTGGGTTCTTTACCGCCTTTTCTGCTTGTTTTTGCTGGAAATATAGCACCTGTAGATCATAGGTGGAACCAACATGGTCTAGGCGGAGATAATTTTCGTGGACTCTGCCGAGATTTGCACCCTGGTCCGGTTAGCCTGTTGCATTGGAGTGGAAAGGGGAAGCCTTGGGTTCGACTCGATTCGAACCGCCCTTGTCCCCTGGATGCCCTCTGGGCACCTTATGATCTGCTGCAAACACCTTATACTCTTGAATCTTAAGGTACTTTACTCAATCCAATAACGCCGCGCTTATTTGAATTGTCTGATCATCTTATTCAATAGTCTAAACTGTATTAGAAAGAATACATATTTATTTACTTAATTATATCTTCAGTAGTGACAGGCTTTTGCAGTTTATGTAATTAACCTGATAATTGCATCTAGTGATCTTTCTTATGTTCTTGAAGTGCCCTAATAGGCTTCTATTATGGTTTCAGGTGTCTTAGAAATTGCAGTAAATTAAAAGAGATTGAGAGTAGAGATCTTTGTCCTGAGATCCTCCTCGATTACATTATGTACAGTATTTGTCTCTCTTCACAGAGACCTCGAAAGGGCTAAGGTGAGGGGCAGTCCGATGCACTAAGTTTTCGCTATGTGCGGGGTCCGGGGAAGGCTCGGACCACGAGGGCTAAGGTGAGGGTTGTTATTATATTCTAGTAGATTACAATATACAGTTGTTAAGAATTCTACACTGGCACTTAGCTAGAGGACTATTTTTGAATGTAAGAGATGAAAACATATACTGCTACTATTTGCAGTTAAGTTTACAATAGAATGAAAAAAGAGGCAGGTTTCTCACACCTTTCATTGGAACTGAATCAAGGAGCATTAAGACAACTAAACGATAAAAAGACCAAGATAATTCAAATTGTGCTTGCAGTAGCAATTTCAAATTTTAATACTGATAATGTGTGATTCTTGAAGTTTTGTTCTAAAACTTATATAATGCTTAGCTTAAAGTGGCATCTGATTTGAGCTCTGCTTAAAAACTTAGCTTGAGTTCTCATACATTTCCATGCAGCTCCGGTTATGCTTAATTTTTATATCTTGCTTTTTGTTTTTAGTGGAGATTTGGGTTAATTACCACAGGGATATAACGTACTACTATTAGCAAATGTTTCTAGATTTGAGCCTTCTCATCCTTTTAGTTATTTCTAAACAATATAAGATAAAGCGGAAAACAAACAGGCTACCATTTGTACTTGTTCATCCAAATGTTATATCCAGTTTTTTTCTTCTAAGCTGTTGTTTAATTTGCCGCATATCTTTTCCCTTTTTCCTTTTCGTCCCGACTAGGGGTGGCAAACGGGCGGGGCGGGTCGGATATGGTTCGGGTCGAAAACGGGTAATGAAAGACCGGATCAATTATCCGACCCGACCCATATTTAATGCGGATAAAAAACGGGTTAACCGGCGGATAATATGGGTTACCCATATTATCCATGACTTCTTGTATATAATCACTTTTGGGAGAATTCTTAGTCTCCCTAACTTGAGGAACCCCCAATTTGAGGCTTTACAAATGTACAAGTTAGATCCATTGGTTATCCATTTTCTAAATGGATAATATGGTTCTTATCCATATTTGACCCGTTTTTAAAAAGTTCATTATCCAACCTATTATTTAGTGAATAATATAGGTGATTAACTGTTATCCCAACTATGGTCAATATCCTTCTATGATTACTTTTCTCATCGTGCTATACTCCTAAATCCTAATACTTAAGAGGTAAGAAAAACGAAAAACAGGTGAAAAAGAAAAAGCAACATGAAAAAGAAAGGGGGAAAAAAAGTGTCGGTAGAGTATCTTTTAATTGGTGTTAGGCGGGATAGGGAGAAGAAAGAAACAAAAACACATGGTCAAAAGTCAAAACATTCAGCTTCTGCTAAAGGCATTGCGCATTTGACGCCATCCCATGTATATTAGGTGTAGCAATTAATTTATCATGTGGACCGGGGCCTGGCGGTCCAAACTACTTGGATATTTTCATATTTAAAAACTTTACGATTCGTCTGGAAAAAAGTTACTACTAAATTATCGTGAACCTCATATTTACACTATAGATATGCTTCTGCCCTCTTCGTTTAAAAAAAGTATTTAATCGGTAAGTTTAGGTTATCATTTGAAATGAAGTTTTCTCTTTATCAAGTTAAACTGTCAAATTACTATTTGAAATTATATTTGTAAATTCCACAAATAACTTGCTTGTTAGAATTTTTTTTGTCAAACCAATAAAGTAGGCTAAGATTGAGCCACACTGACTGAAGATAAGGAATTTGAGGGTAAAAGCTTCTCCTCATCGAATTGTTAAAATACTAGTAAGGATATTTACACTAAATTATATTAAATTATCAAGATTTAAATATTCGGTGCGAATAAATTTTTACTTTATTTGTGATTCATTAAGTGCGGGCCTTCTCGGAAGTTTGTATTATAGCTCCTACAAGAAAGCACAATTTAAGCTTTAGTCAACGGCTCATCCGCTAGTTCTAGCCTTTTACAAGTCCCAATTAATTACAATACTGTCAAGGCCAAAGCTTTTAAAATGAGAAAGGAAGTGTACGCATGACTCTGTCGGCCAACTTTCTAAGTGGAGTAACTTATTAAGCCATGATTTATGCCCCTGAACCTGCTTATGAATAATTACTGTAACACAATTTGTATCCCCACTGATGTATATATCAATGATGACTTATTATTTCGATAATCAGTTTTTCAAACCAAAAAAGTTATATATACACTTTCTACAAATCTTACATATAGAAGACAATGTTAAAAATATAATTAAATAAATAAATAAATAAAAATACTCTCTAATAATTAAAATTTTATTATCAAAAGAACTTTTACATGCTTGAACTTGTATAGGTCAAAATTTGGCGTATCGATAATAAAGTATAATTAAGATAAAGGAGGGGGTCGACCAAGGGATGATGACTGAGGTTTGCTTTTAAAACGTTTTGTGTCAAAGACGGGCAGCTGTGATACGGAGGCAGCGGTAGCCTAAGTTCAAATTTAGACACAAGGAATATTCCTTAGGATATTCCCAATTTTGTACTTTATAAGGTTTTTGGAAAATGTCCCTTATAAATAGGAAGAGATAGAGAACAAAAAGGGGTTCACTTCTAAAAAAGGTACTTTATGCAAAGAGTTGACCTAAGAATATACAAAATTGTCTCATTCATCGATTACTTGGTTCAAATCGACATTTTTGGTTCTATATACGCGAGATTCAAAGATTCAACAACTCTCTACTATTTCATTCATTCCACGTTGTTGTCAGGAGAAAGAATTGTTTGGATCTCACAACACTTAGGAAGTAAATCCTTCTTGTTGTGCTAATAGCATTAATATATATTCATTGCACAATTATATTGTCGCATTTCTGAGCTTTTGATCAGTTCAAACATATTTATTGGCATCTCCTGTTCTGCACACTTCGTTTAGCATCAGGTCTAGAATTTATTATTCTTAACTAAGATTCACCCTTCTTATCATTATTAATTGGTTTAACCAAATGGTTTAACGCTTTTTGGTCAAACGATTTGGCGCCGTCTGTGGGGACTTTTTAGTTAAAATTTTAGTTTCTTCTAGATCATAAAAAAGGATAGTCATCTTTTCCTCGCTTTGCATAAACTAACAATGGCAGGAAAAGGAGATACAAGACAGAAAGCAATAGTAGGCGTCACTACAAACATTCTGAACACCATGAACGAGGATGGTAGAGAAGGCAATGAGAATGTGACGCCAAGCGTTACGCCCAGGCGGAGTGATTCACCTCCTCCTCATGAAAGTGTAACCGCTTCACGCGAAAGAGGAGCTTCCACATCCACAACTGAGGAAGCACCACCGGCAGTGAAAAAACTGTTGGAAGAATGGTTGACAAGCACCCTCAGTGACATACTTGACAAGCCCGTTGAAAAAGCGAACTGGAATGTCACACCGGTAGATGTCATAACGATCACCGATGAGCAACCAGCTCCCTCGACAGGTAACACTCACACCATTGTTGATGCAGACAATAACGCACTGGCAGCCATTTTAAGGAAAATGGAAGAAATGGAAAACGAAAACAAGACACTCCGCGACCAGATGAGAGAACATCAAGAAAGGGTCGATAAGATACCGGGGGCTACAAAACTGCTACCAAAACGAGACGTCGGCCGATTCGTTGTACAACTGTATAGCGAGGAGGCAACCCCGCATGCCATACCCAAGACCTTCAAAATGCTGTCGTATTTAAAAATATATGATGGTACCACAGATCTAGAAGACCACATCATTCACTATGTCACGGCGGTAAAGGGCAGCGATCTATCAAAGGAGCAAGTACCGTCAGTGCTACTAAAAATGTTTGGCAAAACCCTAACTGGAGGAGCCCTAACCTGGTTCTCACGGTCCATAACAATGTTTGAAGAAATGGCTAATAAGTTCGTCACCGCCCACGCCGGAGCTAAGAATGTGGAGGCCAGAGTGAACGACATATTTGCCGTTAGGCAAACGCCAGGCGAGGGACTCAGGGACTTCTTCGCTCGGTTTAACAGGGTGAGAATGGGCTTACTAAACGTATCTGAAGGGATGGCGGTAGCAGCCTTCCAAAGTGGGTTGAATAGAAATGGGTCAAGAGCAACCAGGAAGCTGTTAAATAGGCTCATGAAATACCCTCCCACCACTTGGGAAGAAATTCACAACGTCTACTGTGCCGAGGTGAGAGCAGCGATGACGACCTTAACGGTCCAACCCAACTTTTAACATCAATCCAAATAGAGCCAAGGAAGGTCCGTCGTAACGATAGTCGAAGAGATCAGCCTGGAACACGCCTCAACCGAGATAGGCATCAGCCTTATGTCAGAACCACCATTCCACCATCCCCTCGACTTATAGAAGGGTCGTCCAGGCCGCACACAGGAACTCAACGAAACGAAAGAGGTATGCTCCCACTCTTATCCGCTCACAATTTTTGTGTTTCTCCTTTAGAAGTGGTGTACGCGCTAGAGAAGCTTGGCACGAAGGTGAAATGGCCGCAAAAAATAAAGTCCGACCCCAGCACCCGAAAGTCGAACGTCCTGTGAATTTCACCAGGAGCGGGGTCACAGGACCGAGGACTGCATAGCCCTGCGGCAAGAAGTGGTTAACATGCTGAACCAAGGATACCTAAAGGAGCTAATGAGCGACCGAGGACGAGCCAGCTTCGGCCGCGGACGGGAACAACACCAGGGGCCTCCAAAGCCGCCCTCTCCTGCCCGCACCATTCAGATGATCATCTGTGGAGGCGACGAAGCAGTAGTCAACCACATAAAATACACAAGCTGAAGCGGTCAATCACTCACGATCGATATGATAACCTCGAAGAAAGTATCATCTTTGATAAGTCAGATACCAACAGTTTTGATTTTTCCTCACTCTGATGCTCTTGTCATTACCTTATGTATTTCAGATACTGATGTTAAAAGAATAATGGTAGATGACAGAAGCGGCGCGTGTATTATCCATCCTCGAGTACTCACACAAATGCAACTCGAGGACAGGATAGTACCACGCTGCATAACACTAACGGGCTTTAACAATGCAGTCGAACGAACCTCAGGAGAAATAACACTGCGCTTCTTGGCCGGAGGTATCACCTTGGAAACGACGTTCCACGTCATGAACCAAGATACAACTTACAACGCGATCATCGGACGGCCATAGATATATGCCATGAGGGTCGTCCCGTCTAGTCTATACCAAGTAATCAAATTCCCTACTCTGTGGGGAATATCCAGCATCTGAGGCGAACAACGCACAGCCCCAGAATGCTACCGCATCGCTCAAGATTACATATTCACTCAGTAGCTAAAATGAACAAGCTTAGAAGCATAGCAATTAATGAAGTTGGGGTTTGAGCCCAATGATCGGAAAGACGTTATAAGGACCCCGACATCGTGGGGGCTGCAGGATCGACAATAGAAGATCTCACCCCGTACAACTGGATAGTAGCAATAGCAACAAAAGGGCCTATATAGGCCATATGCTCTCCGAGCCAAGTAAATTTCATGAATTTCTAACCAATAATGTCGATCTGTTCGCTTTCTCCCATGCAGATATGCCAGGGATCCCGAAAGACATCGCCACACACAAATTGAACGTCGATCCATTCTACCCCCGAGTGCGACAAGCAAGAAGAAAATTCAACGTCGTGCTCAATGAAGTCGTCAGCG